TTCATCTGGGTTGTTTTCGAAGACAACTTTGTTGAAAGGCCATGCTACAAAGGACATTAAACAGTCTTCTATGTATGTAACATCCATTGTAGGCCTCCATATGAATGTATTGGCTTCATGTACCACATCAACAAACACTTTTACAGCCTTTGGTCCGAGTGAAAGTCCATTCACCAAAGCTTTACGATCTTGCGTGGTCCAACGGCCTTCAGCAACAACTACATCATCGTTAGACAGATCAAGTAGTTTGCATTTGTTCAAAGAATTGGCTCTTGTGCCCTATTAAACGCATAAAACAATGTCAGAATTTTAGATCATCAACAATCTGTATAAACTTATTAATTAATGAACAAGTTAGAAACTTTACTAGTGGTGCCATGTCTTCTTCCTGAACCCCCTGTTCTAGACTAACACACTTCGTGGCAGGCCATGCAATCATATGCCCAACAGATTCTTCAATTGTTGACATTCCCATAGCATTTCTCCAAAGGAATGCTTCTGGTACCGTGGCAGTCTCAACCAAAACTTTATAATCTAAAGGACCTAAACGTGTCCCATTCACAACATCCTCTGGATCAGTAGATATAATACGTCCCTCAGCAACATTCGCATCATCACCAGCCCAGTCAATCAAAATACACTATGGTTGTGCTTTTTTGTTAACACTCTATGCAGATTTAGAGTAGAAAAAAACAAGTCAGACTTTATAGTTATAAAGAAATCAATTTCATGGATTATTAATCACTTACCCCTGCAGCAGATCTAGAGTTTTCACCAACTTCAGTTTCTTGTCCCTGTGACATGCCAGAAAAAATATTAACTTTTAATTTATGTTACAACCCAACAGCTTAATGTACAAAAAATACAAAAGTGCATTACCTGGTTCTGCAGTTTACCAAGTTTATTTTCTAGCTCATTAACCTTGTCCTGGAGATGAATTTGTTTCTTTTCCATTTCAACCATACACTTGTGATTAACTTCGAAACAAGCTAATTTCGTCTTAGTCATATTTCTCCCCATTGCCCTCATTCGACCGGGATTATCAGGTCCTAATAGTTCGACAAGTGTATCTTGTCCTTCATTTGTTTCAACAGAATTAACAAGTTCAGCTGCCTTTTTCTGCAAATTTAGTTACCTATCAAAAACAATTCCAAAAATCTAAATCTATACTGAAAACCAAATTCACGATGTACATAACTTGTAACTTACAATTTTTTCAGCTGCATCAGTATTCACTGGTGTCCCATTCTTTCTAGTACGCGAATTCACCCAACATCAGTTCTTGTCACATCAGAAGGATCTGATTTCTCTCGTCTCTCTTCTGTCTAAGCAAATAAAAAAAATAGATCATTCAAAATACTTGTTAAACTGATGAGAATTAATAATCCAAAGCATTTGGCGTACCAAGTCTTCAGCTAGTCTAACCATTCCTTTGCGACTACAAGTGTGTGGAATCTGTAGGCTCTTCCTTTTCTTATAGCTATCACTCACAACCTAACACATGATTATAGATATGTCATATTATTCATAAACAAACATAAAGCTTACTTACTTCAGAAAATAATACCTTAAACTCAGGACTAGTTTTGAGCTTGACAAATTTACACCAAGCAGCTTCAGTAACATTCTTAGGTCGCAGATCCATCCTTTCTTTCAAAGTCGTAGCTTCATTAACTTCCCTAACCACTCGTGACTTGTGTGACCTCCACAAATTTCCCATCTGTTCAATCAATGCTTTCTTTTGGTAATCTTCTTCTACTTCAAACCTTGACTGCAATCAATCAAGGTTTTAAGAAAAAAACATTTCAACCTGGAAAGATTAAGTAAGTAGATGTCAAATTACAGAAAAGTTTACCTTGACAGACATCCAGAGCATTGTCTTCATATCCTGAGGGACTTTTGGCCAACTTTCAATGGATACAGGAACGTGTTCTCGCACAATTATACCAAGATACGTTGACAACTTAACAGACCCATGACCATAATGTTCTCCCATGAAAGTGAAGTTAACCTTTAATCTGCTATTTGGATTCCTGGCGATGTCTCTCAATCTTGTTGGTCCTCGCTTTCTCTTACCTGTAGGTTTAGCTACATGATCGTGCTCGTCAGTCCCATCATTAACTCCTGGCTGATCTTCTACAGGCTGCTCTTCTAAAGGATGCTGAGCCTGCTCTTCTGAAGGCTGAGCTTCTACAGGCTGCTCTTCTGAAAGATGCTGATCCTACTCTTCTAAAGCCTGAGCTTCTACAGGCGCTCTTCTGAAGGATGCTGATCCTGCTCTTCTAAAGGCTGAACTCCTTCTAGACGCTGGTTGTGTTGTAAGTTATGATCAGGTTGTGGCGGGTTTATTGTACCCAAGAATTCTGGCTCTTCAGAATCTTTCTTCTTTTTTCTCCCTCCACGGTTTGTTACTTTCTTTGGTCCCATGTCAACTCACCTGAAATAAATGAAAGACAATAGGGTTAATTAAACAATTACGAAGCAGCTGTCATCAGATATATAGCAAATGGAAACACAAATACAAATCAAACAATTACCAAGCAGTCAACAGACGTAGCAAATAAAACAAGAATATGAATGCCAAACAAACACAACTAAAAATAAAATAATTACCAAGTAGTCATCAGACATAGCAAATAAAACAACAACAATGTAAATGACAAACAGACTCCATTTCAGACAAATATGCCTTCACAATCAGTTCGGGCATTTTCAGATTCATCCATGTGAACATCCATGTCCACATTTGCTGGTAATGGTCCAATGTCTGCAATTCCATCATCCAAATCTTTATTATATCTTCTTGAAGGAACTTGCATAACAACATGCCAACTTGATTCTGCGTCTTCCCTTAAGTAAAACACCTGCTTTGCTTGCGATGCTAATATATATGGATCTTTTAAAAAAGAGACTTGACTATGATTCATGTTAACTAGTGTGAAACCATCTTCTATCTTAGCTCCATTACCCATTACTGCCCAGTGACACCGGAAGAGAGGAACATAAAAAACATTATAATCTAATAGTATGATGTCTATCACTCTGCCGTAGTAAGATACCAAATCAACCACTTGTGAAGTATCTTTCGCACTAGCCCTACAGACTGTTGTTGCCTCATAGAAAACCCCACTATTCTGATTTTTCCTATCAACTAAACTTGTATGAAACCGTTGACCATTCACTATGTAACCTGTATATGACCGTGCCATATAACGTGGACCGTAAGCCAACCATTTTAAAACTTCTCCATGTCTGTCTGAATCAATTGGTATCTACGAGAAATAAAATATAACAAATCAGACACATACACATAAAAACATGAAATAACAACAGAAAATAGTAGATTTGATGTAACTTGCCTGCTGTTTTAACCAAGATGCAAAATTCTCAGAATGCATAGCCCATAAAACTGATGCATCACGTCGGCATCTTCCATTGGTGTCTTGTAGATGCTGAAGGTGCTCACTTGTACAATATTAATAATAAGAAGCTTAATCAGATACTTTATCATAAAACTGTAAATAATAATAGAACAAGAACTGTATAGAACTTACTCGATATAAGGTTCGACGACAGCCATATTTTGGATGACAGCAAGATGGGCTATTTTCTTATCCATTTCTGAGAGAGTTATGGAAGTGGCTGCGGATATAGGACGACCCTCTAGTATAGAACTATTCTCATAGTCAGTGTTTCTATCTAGTTTTTCCTGTACGTTTGTAGACTTCTTTAAGAATTCACTACAAAACTGGACGCATTCTTCAGCCAGATACACTCAGCAATACACCCCTCTGGTCTTGCAGGATTTCTCACAAATCTTTCAGACTTTCATATATCAC